TAACATCAATAGATCGATGGAGGCAAGTATGTTTTTGCCATGTTTTTAAACTAGGAATTATTTTGAATGAATAATAAAACAATTATTGAATTCGGCTTTTATTTCATATGAAGAATTATGGAGATCTCGGAGGGTGTTATCCGCCTCGGCCTACGGCCTCGACAGATAACACCCTCCTCGATCTCCATAATTCTTCATAAGATACTCAGCTTCATTCATTAATCGTTAATTCTTTGAATTTCAAAAACTAACTGAAATTGCCTATTGGTTAATCTGTGTCTTATCAACATTTCCGTTGGCAGTGTCAGTACAGTCCAACCAATCAAGAACGGCAAACTTGGGGACAGAAAAAAGTGGCAGTTGTGGAGAGAGGAGTTAGGTCATGGGGAGGTATGTGTAAAATATGACCTTATTTTAGGGAGTACATGTATATTGTGCTTAGTTTATGCTTACTGCATCCCAATAATAGTAATTCAGTCAGATATAATATATAGAGCTAAAATAGACAAAATTCGCTATATGTATAGTAGACACTCTATGCTTACTGCAGCAGTATAAATGAAACTCAATCCAAGTACAATTGCCGCGATTAATCATCAAGGCGCCATACGGATTAAATGTCATGACGCGACCATTCTTGACTTTTTCACAGGTTCCTTGTCGAGAGGTTGTTTTGGCACTAAGGACGCGCTTTAGTGGCCATTACTGTTGTAGAGAGGTTTAAACAAGAGTTTATGTATGGACTGTCCGCCTGAACAAAAAATGGTGGCCGCTGTACAGAGGTGTTTTGCTTTTAGAAAACGTTGTGACTGGACAATCTCTTTTCAAGTGTGACGGTTTGAAAGTCCGCACTGTAAAAAGAATTTATGTATTTGTCTACAAAAAACACACTTCTTATTTCCTTTGAAGACTACAAATTAAATTCATTATACTGTGAGTGTTGCAGGTTTATAAATTATCACGAGTACTAAACTGTGAATGTACAAAACACTGAGCTACAACACTATACTTACAAAACAGATTTTCCTAGAGAAAGAAAGGTCTAGACTGAAATACATGAGCTAGAAAATTCAGAGTTGATGCCCCGTGCACTGCGTGAAGCTTCCTTTGAAAACAAACAATCTCTAACAAAATTCTGTAGCAAGAGAAAAAGATGTCCGCACTTGTAAAGTACAGTCGGTCACTTGTAAGCTACAATTCATGATTTGCAAAGTAAATGAAAAAATTCCTAGTAAGGACAGGCCCTAACAAGACCCTTGCATTCATTGGACCAAATCGGTTATTATACAGGTAATTTACATCACGCCAGAGCCTGATCTCGATCCAGGATTTCCGACCCCTTTGTCTTTGTCTTTACATCTTGGGGCATAAAATCGCCATACATCGCGGTCCAGTCGTCAAATCCTTTGATCTCTCCTTTCATGGGATGGACAGGGCCATCGACGTTTGGTTTATCTAAGAATTCCACATAACAATCATCAGGTGTCTCACATGGAGCGTTATCAAGCTCGAAAAGCACTAACTTGCTAGTACTCTGTTTACCAGAGAGGAGGACGCTGGCGGGAACATACAGCGTAATTTGGGGCCCAACGACTGGCCAATATCGGCCAAGGTTGAATCCATTCACATAAGCCTGTCCCTGAAGAAAATACAAACAAACAGCTCTTGTAACTAAAGACGGTTTTCGTGTAAACATTTTAAACTGTTCCAAACGTCTTTAGATCATTTGTCACAACCTAGTTCAGCAGGTGTTAAAACCGCGTTCTAAGTCATTCCTACCGTAAATTATATAAGAAACCCGGGGCGTTTCAAAGAAATCGTTGGAGGCGTTTAAACGAGGGAGGCGTTTATATTCATAACTGTAACAAGCTCAATGCTTCGAATATGCTTTTGGCGAAAATAGATTAGAATATAGATTAGACCACTTTGATCAATTAGATCACTTGTGGAAATATCAAGACGCTGTTTGCCGGGAACAATATCAAGAGAGCATATAAGGCAAACCAAACTAGAGAAACACTTATTTCAACGAATAAGCGGCCATTAGATTCGCATTCGGAGAAAAGGGTTACAAAGTCAAATGTTTATACATGTATACGTCAAATTTTGGAAAGAATAATCTGTAACATACATGTCCAGTTAGAGAGACACTGTACGCGTCAAATGAACACTACTGTTGGAGGCTTTAACTTGATGGCGCGTACTAAAACCCTGGACTCCGGAACACTCCAAAACAACACAGAACAACCCCAAACACTGCGGAACACTCCGGGATATCCCCGAGACAACCTGGGCTGAATTTTCTCAAAGCATGGTTAGCTTTAACCATTGGTTAAAAAGTATTAAAACAAATACGTTGTCAAGGTATTAAACGCTGGTTAACGCTAACCATGCTTCGAGTAACTGGGCCCTGGGAAACCCGACAATAGGGAGCTTAGCAAAGGCGTTTTTGAGCGAAGGACGTGAACCGGAAGTGAGACATTTACCCTCTTAATATGCCTTGACAATATAAAATTTGTGAGCTTCTTCACTCTGATAGAGACGATTTGGCTGAAAATTTGGGCAAAATCACTTACGGTTGACTTGCGTCGCTCAAAAACGTCGTTGCTTAGCAACGACGACAGCGACGGCAACCAGAAGACGTCAAAAAAGCAATAGGTTTATTACGCAAAACAACAACTTTGCACGTGCATCACGCTTTTTTGTACATTTCTTTACCGTCCTTGCACGAGTACGACGTGAAAATACCTAATTGCAAGTTTTATGGAGGACGTAAACAAGCGACGACGAATCTCTTTTTCTCTCTCTAAACTTGAGTGCGGTCCTCAAGAAATCAACTCCAGGCAAATTCGCCTACACTTGCCATTTTCAACAAATTGGAATAAACGCGACAAAGACTGAAAAAACGGGAATTCATTTTAAAACTGACGTTTTCGCTGCCGTTGCCGTCGTCGATGCTAAAGCTCCCTATTAGGTAAATGATACGGTACCCTAACAATAATCTGTAAAACACCGAATGTTTTCCGAACGTTTTCCGATTTTTTTTTTATTTATTTGACGTGTTCGAGAGTGTTCCAGGGGGCACCGAGTTCCTGGTTTTTGTAGGTGCGGAATTTGACAGGTGGCGAAACCTCAGAAAAACACATTTAAAATCTGCACAAACCTTAAACCAGCCAGGGAGATTAAGAAAGGTGTCTCTTGGTGTTCCATCAGGTGATGGAGGTATAGTACCAGTGTAGAACGATGGAATCTGAATGTTATCTTCGTCCTCAAACTCAGATGGTACAGATTCCTTCACCACAGGGTCCAAATCTAATGGGTATATGCTCCAGTCACTAAGGACCATTTTGTCCAGGGTCACATTTCCAACGATGCCCTTTGGATCTTGTAAAGCGGAGCCATAATTAATGCGCCCCATATTTTCCACCAGGATGTCCAGAGTGGACCCAGGTTTAACGTCGATGGTGGCTTCAGTCTTCGGACCTACGCGAATTAGCGTCGCCTGGCGAATCTACAAAAAAACAAAACGCGGGTCACATGCGCCACTTTTGAAACGCGAAGGGAACTAGAACCGAAAAGTATCCCGCAAGGGTTTCTGGGTTCGCTTCTCGGGACACGCTTCGGTGCTGGCAACTGTTGACTACGATTTAGTGGCGATTGCTCTTAGTTAGTAAACCAGCTTAATATCCCACCTTGTCAACAAAAACTATTCCTCTGTCTGCAAGTCCAGGAATGCTGATGTTTGCCGTGGAGCCACTGATAGAGGAAGGAATCGTTGTGCGATAAAGTATGAATCCATAGTTTTGACCGACTTGCTCCATGGTCAAAGTCTTGTTAGATGCGACAGGTCCGGACGGAGTGAGGTTTGCCAAAACATCATAAAATGTACTGACCTGGGGATAGAATAAAAAAATAATGTCCTTTGCAACACCTTGTCAGTTTTCTCTAAACACGTACTAAACAATGCGCTTAAGAAAACTCATTTAAGCAAGAACGAATTTGTAATTTTAAATTTGTAGAGCACTTAGGAGTTCTTAAGAGCTCGTTAAAACTTGTCCCTGCGTTCCACATCGAATTGAAATTTCGAAGTGTCGGTTCTTGAGAAGAGAGGAAAACCGGGGTTCCCGAACATAAACCTCTCAGAGCAAGGGAGAGAACAAACATCATAAATTAAATTGAATTGAATTAATTCGATTTAAGGAGTATTATAGGATGCCCAGGGGGCATGAGCACATTTTGTTTGTATTTTCGAACGCTTTTCGGGACATTTTTTCTTAAAGTTTTCTTAAAATAAGATTTTAATGGGAAAAAAGATCCTTGTGCCGTGTTTGGATGTAATAATGATCGCCTTTTTCTAGTTTAGTATTAGAAATATGGTCTTCCACTGTATATTTCTCGGGAAAAAGGCAATCATTATTACATCCAAACACGGCACAAGGATCTTTTTTCCCTTTACAATCTTATTATAAGAAAACTTTGAGAAAAAATGTCCCGAAAAGCGCTCGAAAGTACAAACGAAATGTGCTCATGCCCCCTGGGCATCCTATAATACTACTTAAATCGAATTAACTCAATATGGCCGCCGTATCGGTAAAAAAAGTCTATTAATTTTCAGGCCCGTTAAATAAACGATCATTGCCCTGCATTTTTGCTCCATTTTTTAGAAATTTATCGCGTGCACAAAAAAATGCTTATCTCGGTTTCCTTGCAGTGTCTTCAAGGAAGTGTTTACTATAAAATGTTAAAGAAATGAAGTCCGTGTTGACCCCAGGATTTTACTTAGTCTACCAACCTTAGCCATCATAACTTTTCCGTAAGCAAACTTCTGAGTAGCAGGAGGAACAGGGCCGGGGGGGACTGGGGCGTATTTAGCGATAGTCTCCATGAGCACAAAGTACTTTGTTGTTGGGTCCCCTGCTTCAGTCAAGGGTGCGTCATAATCATAGCTGGTAGGCTGTGGTGCATATGATGGGCCACCACCGCCATTCGCTCCTACGGATTAATCAAATTTAATTACAGTTTACATTGAGTCTAAACTATTCAAAATAGCCTGCAAGCAAACTCACCAGGTATGGTGAGCGTCGCGAGCCGCGAAGAGAACACACAAGCGAGCGGTGATGCCGCCAGGGTCCCTCGCAGTCGCATCTTCTTTTGCGTGCGGTTTTCGAGTGACTTCACGCGACTCCCTTCAAATGGAGAGCTTACTCGCTCGCTAAGCCAAAAAAAACCTTAAGAACATAGACTGCTGCTGGAGAGAGAAGGGAATATAGGCCCTAAAGGCGTGGCCTATCTGGGCTGGTAGGGGTAAACAACGATAGACGAATTTTGATATACACTGTATTATAATTTATACATTGCTCCAAGGTTTGGGAGAGTAAAGCAAAAGAAATAACCTAAAAGATTAGTGAAGAATGATACATTTCTTTGTTTTATTGCCTAAAGCCTCCAGACTAGGCATGAATTTTAATATAATGAAATTTGCCTATCAGCTACCCTGCGAGAAGAGGTTTTTCCCTTGCATGGATTTTAGAGTTTATTAAGCCTAGTTTTCAAATGTCGGGAAAATCCCAGACGATCGGGCATTTTACTGTTTCCCGACTGTCTGAGATTTTGCCGACAAATGAAAACTCGAAATCGTAGATATCCCCGATCGTCTGGGATGGACGGGGACAAATCTGGAGAATCGGGAGTGTTTCTATTTTCCCGACGCGTCCCAGATTTCTGCGATGGTCGGCGATCATTCCCGACGAATGAAAACTCAAATTTGTACCGTCGAGGACGTCGGCGATGGATTTCGCTCATTACCAATCCCCTAAATTGCTGAGCTCCAGTCCCCCTATCACGCAAGTTTCAATTTTTGGCGCACTTTCCATTTCCGGCCAAATTAATCGGGAGAATCTGAGACAGACTTGTCGCTATTATTCGATATATCTGGGACGGTCGGCAAAAAGTAAAATCCCTGATCGTCTGGGATCTTCCCGACTTCTGAAAACTAGGCTTACGGTAAGTCATTCGCGCGGCTTGTCTGTCGCGTAGTTGGTTTCTCACAGGGAGTAAACAAACCAACTACGCGAGAGACAACCAACGCGAACGACTTCGTAAACGCTAAAAGCCATGTAAGGGAAAAACCTCTGCTCGGGGGGTACCTGTCAGCAGGCTCACTTGTGTGAGTTTTTGGAAAATGTTTGCATCACGAGACTAAAAAGCCGGCGAGAAGAATGGGGCATGCCATATCAAAATTGGCGTATTGGCTAGCTCTTGCAGTTACATGTGTACCCTGCCAAGAAATGGCAAAGCTAATAAAATAATTCATTAATTAACTAAAATATAGTATCACTAGTTATCTATTAACTTATAAAAGGCAGGGGAATAATTATTTTATACATTAAGCTGGGGATTACCGAGAGAGAGAAAATCAAAGGAAAATGCACCCAATTATAGTTTGCTTTTTTGCGGCTTAACCTGAAAAGCCATCTTCATGGTAAATACTGGCACATTTCTTAAAGGGGCTGTGTCACGGCAGTCCGGTTCATTTTGTTTAATTTTGCCAATTACTCGCCCTCAATAGCTATGGAACTTGAAGTAAGCGAAGAAACTACAAATAAATGACAAAATTAGATATCTGAGACAAACAAATATGTCTCCTGAACATTATTTTTGAAGTTGCAAGCAGCAGGGATCAACTTTGAAAAACTGTTAGGCTGAACAGCTTTCAAAAGCCCTAATTTCAATTCGTTTCAATCTTCTTCAGTTTTGCCCATCCGTGGCATCTGTTGTTTCTGTTATGTTACATTGTATTTTAACCTTCCCTTAAAGTTTTAAGCGGTTATTTTTATGTTTCTCCTAATTTAACGGGCATTTTGTAATTTCCTAATTTGGCTGAATTTCGTGACACAGCTCCTTTAAAATTGAAAAAATTTCTTTTGAAATATGTAATAAATGAGTAAAAAAGCACTCACAGAGGGATTGTCCAGTTACAGTAAGGAGCACAAAAGTGTGACCTCCTTTAATAATTAACTGTCATTCTCTCATGCAGACATTAACCAATTAGAAGTCGAGAACAGTTTCCAGCTGGCTTCTGATTGGATTAAATCTGTTTGAAAGAATGTGAATAATTCTCCTTGCTGTAATACAGTAAGTTGTTAATGATTCACAAGTTTAAATGTAGAAGAATTAAATTTGTTTAGTGTGTAAGCAAGCCCTCCGGGGAGGAAGGGGAGCTTGCAACTATGTCTCTGGAATTTGCATATTTGCATTGAAAAAGTTGATGCGAAAATGCTGATTGGTATAGATGACTTAATTAGTACTGATGTCATTAACCTTGACACATGCTTTCACAAGTTATCAATGTTTGTTTACATTCACACTTGTTTCTGCTTTGCACTGATTGGCGGAAATCTGACAGCTTAGTCGACCGCGAGCCACAGGGTAATTGGAGGCGGAATTCAAATCCAGAGACGTAGTTGCAAGCTCTCCTTCCTTTTTCCACCCTGCAGCCAG